GTGGCCAGCTCACGGAGTTTATCTAGGAGTCTAGATTTGTAATGTTTTTTAAAATTTTTATTTATTTATTTATTTGAAAGATTTTGTTTATTCATTTGACAGAGAGAGAGATCACAAATAGGCAGAGAGGCAGGCAGAGAGAGAGAGGAGGAAGCAGGCTCCCTGCCGAGCAGAGAGCCCAATGTGGGACTCTTGATTCCAGGACCCTGAGATCATGACCCGAGCCGAAGGCAGAGGCTTAACCCACTGAGCCACCCAGGCACCTCACCAACTGTGACTCTTGATACAATTTTTATTTTCAGCAGCATTTATTAAGTGTCTACTGTGAATCAGCTGCATGGACTCTAGGGGGATGCATACTTGCAGACAGGTTGATCTCACTTTTTTTTTTTAAGTATATTATAGTGGTGTAGCACCCACTCTGTTCCAGGCACTGTTCCAATTGCTTCCATACCCTAACTAACTCAATCCCATTATACTCATTTTGTAAATGAGGAAACTAGGGCATGGAGAGATTAAGAAGCTTGCAGAAGTCACACTGCTTGTAAATAGTGGAACTGGGCTTCAGAATTGCCTAGTCGTTGCTAGGCTTAGTTTCCTTGTCCTTCAGCAGACATTTACAGGGTCCCTTCTATTGGCAAGGGGTTGAGCTGGATCATTCCTAAGACTTGGTAATTCATCAGGTACTTCCTGAGTACCTACAATGTGCCAGAGGATAGAGGAGTGAATGAGATGAAAGTCTCTGCTCTTGTCCAACCGTCAGTCAACACATAATAAGTTTTTAGATAATGATAGTCTGTGACTAACATAAAGTCAGGGAAGGGACTGGAAAGTGATACAGGGGTGCAGGGATCGTTTTCGATTTTGTGGGCTGAGAAGGCCTCCCTGAGTCTGCGTCATTTGAGCAGAAACTTATTTGAAAAGAGAAGCCAAGGGCGCCTGGATGGCTCAGTTGGTTAAGCAACTGCCTTCAGCTCAGGTCATGGTCCCAGAGTCCTGGGATCAAGTCCCACATTGGGCTCCCAGCTCCATGGGGAGTCTGCTTCTCCCTCTGACCTCCCCTCTCATGCTCTCTCTCACTCTGTCTCTCTCTCTCAAAATAAATAAAAATCTTAAAAAAAAAAAAAAAAGAAAGAAAGGAGAAGCCAACCACATGGAAATGTGAGGGGAGAGGAGTGATCCAGGGAGAGTGGCAGCAAACAGGGGAGCCCTGAGGTCTAAAAGGGCCAAGCCCTGCATCCGGAGCGGGATGAGCTAGGGGAGAATGGCAGTGATGAGGTCAGGGAGAATATGAGGTCCCCGTTGGCCCTTACGGGTTATGGGAGGGAGTTTGGGTTTCATTCCGAATGTGATTGGATGTCTTGGAGAGTTTTGAGCAGGGGAGTGGCATGCTTTGATTTTTCAAAGAGCTCTTTGGCTGCAGGGTGGAAGCCTGACTGTAGGGCAGCGAAAATGAAGCAGGAGGCTTTTGTGTTGCGCCAAGGATTCTCAGTTCTTGCATCCTGTGATTCATGCTGGTTAGAAAGGTGCTGCCTTTCCACAGTACCTGCTTGAGAACTTAGGTCTCTTCGTTTCACACACCTGCTGCTAGAGGACTCGGACCCCTGTCCTTTTCCTCCTATGATTCTCCTATTTTCCCTCCATGTTTACTTCTCATGGGGCCTGTATCTTGAGGGGGGAGTCACTTGGGGGCATAACTTGTATTAAGATCCTCAGGGAAATGTTAGCTTTCCCTGATTGGCTTTAAAATCAGAAGCTTCATATTTACCCAAAAGGATTTATGGCCAGATATTGGAGATACGGGGCGCTGTTGGGTTGGAAAAGCCACACCAAAGGCATTCAGCTTGCTAAGAACCTGAACCCGGCACTAGAAACCTGGGTTCAGTTCTTAGCATAACGATGCCAAGCTTCACTGGGACGCGATGCCTGACCTTCTGATCTGTCTCCTTCTCCGTAGAGATGTTAATGTGTCTTGCTAACCTCACGAGCTGCGTGAGCTGCGAAGAAAAGAGAACGTGGAAGCATTGTGTACACTTGTGCCATGGAAAGCCCAGCAGGCAGGATCCAGTTTTAGGAAATTGCAGACATTTGTAGGTCATTGACTATTTGTACGTGCTTACATGTTGGCCCATGAAACACCCAATAGTAAGGGTGTGAATGTTTGCCTGGTCACACAGTCCTAGGAGGAAAGAATCCTCACTGTGGTAAGATCTGTTTGACTGACTCTCCCCTCCCCTCCCGTCCCCTCCCCCATCTCCTCACCTCCCGTGAACTGACTTGAGAACAAGCTAACTTCCCGCTGCCTGGCGGAGACATCTCAGACCTTTGTGTGAGCTGTTTTTGGAAAGTTGTTGGCAGAGGGCCCCAGAGCAAAGGTCAGGCGAATTAGCTTGGAGTCACAGGGAGACCTGCAGAGACAGACGGCACACACAGACAGGTGCACACCCACCCACCCACACACACAGGTAAACAAGGCACAGTCATAATAGTCATAGTTGTTCGGGACTCAGCGGTGTTTGTGGATGTTATATATGTAAATAAATGATTTAAAACTGTGAAAGCTGCTTCAGGGGAAGTATCTTCAAAGTTTTGAGAAGATTGACTAATTCTGTCAGGGAGCAGATGAAGGAAAGACCTGTATTCCAAGGGGGGGGCATTTGAAAGATGCCAGTGAGATGCTCGGAGACTGCCACGTAAGCAAGAGGGGTGATTTTGCCAGCAAAGGTGAGGGTTCTGAAATGGCATGGTGGGTTCTGGAACTGATGCCATGAGAAACAAGGCTGGTAAGATCCTTTGAGGCCAGATGGTGGAAAGCTGCTGTCAGAGCCCATGGTGGCTTATCTGACTGAAGATTTTGAGTTCTTTCTTTCTCTTGTGCGATGTGCTGCCATCGCTGGAGTCTCTCTGTGGCGGGGGGTGTTGATGAAATGTCAGCGAGGGGGGCCCTGCGGTTCCTCGTGCGGTGCCTTGCCCCCGAGGTCAGTGTTTCAGTATTACTTACTGAAACAACGAGATACGATGGTTATCACAGAGTTCCGGAGAAGAGGTCCTTTTTGGATCCGCATACACGGGGGTAGGGACCGTGCGTGCCTGGTGGCGTCTGTCTGCCAACAGAGCGGTCAGATCAGCAGCTGCTTGACTCCACAGTCATGTCCACACTGAGAGCCGCTGCCATGGGCTTTGACAAGCTCCTGGGCTGAGGAGAGGTGGAGAGTGGGGTCTAGTCCCGCGAGTATCTTCTGTGAAAATGGTATCTGTTCAGTAATTACAGAAATATTTTTATGTTGTATAAATATGCATGTGATTAAATTCTTTAGTTAGTAGAAATGGAGACAAAGGAAGGTGCCTTATCTTTTTACTTACCATCATCTACCGAGTTGGGTGACATTGCCCTTGACTCCAGCCCATACTTCCTGCTGCCTTGTCACTGCCCTTTTCCCAGATGTCCCATGATCATAGAGCTCATGGATGGGACTGCTGGTTGACTTCTCGGTTCCTCTGTGTTCTCTTATCTGAGGGCTAAGTCAAATCCAACCTACATACAAGAAGAGAGAATTCAAGGAAAGCATCTCCCTGCCCCCAACTTGTGATCCGCTGACCAACAGGTCAAGAATGTTTCCAAGTCCTTTTCCATGGTGTCATGTCACTTTCTTGCCTTATTCCTGTCTTTGCCTCCTGATGAATCTACGGTGACATTCAGATGCATTCACATCTACTGCTAGACAAGGCTTTGTCTGTTATTAAACCTAAAAACCAAAAAACATGAGACTGAACCTTTTTTGGATATTGTAGGAACATAACTTAATCAAGTGCCTTCCTCCTATGGCCTAGACAGAAAGAGCTCCATAATTTTAAAAAATGTTCCTTCTCTTTTTCTTCTGGCATTTGTACCTCCCCCCCGCCTTAAAGCTTTTATATTGTAGACAGATTTACACATACACGAAAGAGGAGGGAACTGTGTCATGAACCTGCAAGTCCCAGCTTCAGTAGTAATCAACTTTGAGGCATATCTTGTATCATTTCTATCCCTGTTTACCTATCCTTCATTATTTTGAAGCAAATATCACACGTCCTATCATATCATCCATGAATATTTTAGCATATATTCCAAAAAGATGAAGGCTTTGTAAAACCATAGTACTTCTGTTATCATGCCTGATAATTCCTTAATATCCTCAAATAACTGATCAATATTAACATTTCCCTGAATATAACAAAACCTGTTAACACTTTGTTTTAATTGGAATCCACTACAGTTGTTGATAGGTCCCCCAAATTGCTTTGCATCTCTAGGTGCTCCTCCATTTTTTTTTTTTTTCTCTCCTTGCAGTTCACTTATTGAATAAACTGGGTCTGTGGTTCTCTTTAATTTCACACAGTGTGGCTTCTGCCATTTGCACCCTTATAGTGTGGTCTAACATCTCCCTCCCTCCTCTGTATTTCCTATGACTGTGGTGTTTTTGTTGTGTCTTAGAGATTTGTTCAGGATTCAGATCCAGTTGTTGGCAGGCATGCTTTTTAGGCGGCGGCGTGAACTTCTTTCAGGAGGCACGTAACGTTTACTTGTCTCTTTGTGATGGTTGATTGACTTCTTAAATGTGCCGAGTATTTAAGAGGGTTCACATCTGTTACTGTTTCCCTGGGCCCAGGTGGTGGTCTTGAGAAAGGGGGAGAAAGAATGCCCTTGTGGTGTGCTCCCGGCAAAGTCTGACGATGGCGGGGGCTGGTAGGTCCTGTGTCCCTGGGCTGGGGTTCCTCCAGTGCTCGCTGGAAGATGAGTTGGTGTACATTTGACATAGAGCACTCCTAGAGTTTGTTTCCCTCAGTCCCAGAAGACCTATTCACTCAAACACTTAGCAAGGAGAGGCTCAATTTCTTTGGATGTTGCCTTTTGTATGTAGAGGTGTTTCTTGGTTTGGCTACATGAGCTGATGTTTTGCTGATGTTCTCCCGATAATGTGTTTTCATTTAATTGTAAGGTGACTCTCTTCTTCTTTCAGGATCTCATTTTGCCCAATGGTGGCACTCCTGCAGGTACTTCGAGTCCCGCTTCTTCATCTTCCCTTCTCAACAGACTTCAGCTTGATGATGACATTGATGGTGAGACCAGAGATCTCTTTGTCACCGTTGACGATCCCAAGAAGCATGTCTGTACTATGGAGACCTACATTACTTATAGGATCACCACCAAAGTAGGTCCCTTCATTATCTTCTGCCCCTGTGGAATGGTCTTGGTGAACTGGAGACCTGCTTTCATGATTCCTGCCTTCCTTTCTCCCTCCCTTTGTAGGACTGTGTTCACCTTCGTTCCAATGGTGGGTGTGGCTTTTTGAGAGATCAAATGTATTCAGATGAAAAGGATTTGATGTGAATTTTTTGTTTTGAAATGACAGAGAAGTTGTGACTATAGTCTTTCAAGTAGAGCATTTAATCCTGCTACCCTCACTTATTTTTGGTCATGATACTTTTTAGGCTGTTAGTATCACTTTACTATTGAAATTTATGAATGAATCTTTGTATCATCCTAAATGTCTGGTGGGACCGTGGTTGTAATTTGGTGTAATTTTGGTGTAATTTGGTGTAATTGGAGTGGATTATAGGGGAGGGACGTAAGAGAAGGATGGGAATGAAGATTGGTTGTCTTTCTGCTATGGGCCACGTGGGTAGTGGGCAGGGGCCTGAGATTGACCGGCTTAATGTTCACAGCAGCCCTCAAAGATAGATCTTGTACTTACAATTTTAGAGATGAGGAAACTGAAGCAGAAACTTTAAGTAACTTGTTCATGGTTACAGAGTTGGTAACCAGGATTCTAACTTTAATTTTTAGGACTGTCAATCCAACATTTTTATTTTCAAACCCATACTCTTAAACCTAATTCCATTTTTTTAAAGTTTTTTTTTTTAAAGATTTTGTTTATTTATTTGACAGACAGAGATCACAAGTAGGCAGAGAGGCAGGCAGAGAGAGAGGGGGAAGCAGGTTCCCCGCTGAGCAGAGAGCCCGATGTGGGGCTCGATCCCAGGACCCTGGGATCATGACCTGAGCCAAAGGCAGAGGCTTTAACTCACTGAGCCACCCAGGTGCCCCCTTTTTAAAGATTTTAAAGATTTTTTTTTAAAAAGATTTTATTTAGTTATTTGTCAGAGAATGAGAGAGAGAGAGAGCGAGTGCACAAGCAGGGGGAGCAGCAGGCAGAGGCAGGTTTCCTGGTGAGCCAGGAACCCAATGTAGGACACGATCCCAGGATCCTGGGATCATGACCTGAGCTAAGGCATGATGGCTTTCATCTTACATGACAGCTTAACTTACTGAGCCACCCAGGCGTCCCATATACAATATCTTTTCTCTGTGGACATGTAAGCCTTTCTCAGATATTTCTTTGATATTCCTGCCCTGTCCTTTCTGCACCTGGTTTACATTTGAAAACTTGTCTCTGTGTGTGTGCACACGCACGTGCGTGCACGTAGTCTTCCCCCGTCCCTCGGGCCGCTGGGTGCCTGCTGTTTCCCAGGCATTCGGCTAGGTGCTTAGAGGTATATTAAATCTTCAGAGGTTCTAGGTTGATATATGTATTCCCATGAACTATTTCCACTCCTCCACCGTCACCCCAGCCCCAGGGTCAACTTATTTTTTACCCTGTAGTCAGCGAAATGGAAAACGTGTTTTTCTTGAACTTATGCTCTAAACTGCTGAAGGACAAGGTCACTGCGTCCCTGGCACAGCAGCGCTCGCTCTCCTACACATGTTGCCCCCCTGCCTGACTCCACTGCCCTGTAGCAGACCTCCCCCACCTCCCGCAAGGATAATCCTACAGGACCTCTGTTCTCCAGTCACAGGCCGACTGACTCGTGCGCTCTCCTGTGCTGCCTCTCTTTCCTTCTTTCCTCACTCTTTTCCCTTGGTGTTCTTGTTTCTGTCCCTTTTTTCTGGGGTCGATATCCTGTAAGTCAGAACTCTTCCAACTTCTGGTTCCACGTTTCCTTTGGCTATGATGCCACCACCTCTTGGTGAACTTTTTGCAGAATTAAGTTTTACTTCTTACTGTCAATTCTATCTCAAACCAGAGTCCCTTTCTTTTCCTGTTGCAGGTAGCAACACCAGGTTTAAAATCTTGGTGGTGCATTTGGAACCTTCTTTCTAAACACTGCATTAAAGCATAGCTACGCCCCATGTCACAACACAGCCTGTGGGGTTTGGGGATGAGAGGGAGAGAACACAGAGGAACGCAGGGTCTCACACACCAATCTTCCCCCGGGTTCTCCACTTCTGCTGTGGTTCTCTAGCGAAGTTCATGGTCACAGGACGAGGTTGTACAAATAGTTTATAACTTTGAGCTCTGATTCCCCTGTCCTAATTCAGATTTCTGATGACCAAAGCTGGACAAAGTATAGAGCTGCTTTTCCCTGAACTAAAATGAACCTAAAGCATTCTCCACCCAAATCTAAGTCATGGGTGCCTTTCCTCTGCAGTGGTGGGGAACCCGGCCGGGAACTGCCCGGCCTTCTCAGTGCATGTGGATCCTGGCTCCTTTCTCTGCAGGCTCCTAGGAAGTGTCTTCATCATAATAACTAATTACTGACCACTTACCATCTGCTTGTACTTTTTGGTCATAGAAACTTTTTTCTTTATATAAGTAATATGTGCTTATTGCAGAGAAACTGGAAAACTCAAGGAAGCTGAAACAATAAAAGAATACCTATAAGCTCACCAGCCAGAAATAATCATTTATAAATTTCTGAACTGTTTGTCTCTGTCCATTTACAAAAAAGAGTATTTTGTATGCTGCCCATTCCCTTCATGTGTTGGGCGTCTTTCTGGGCTGGTAAATGCCAGCACAAGCACACTATTATGTTATTCTTTCTTTCTTTCTTTTTTTTTTTTAAGATTTATTTACTTGAGAGAGAGTGGGGGGTGGGAGGGGAGGAGGGAGAGAGAGGACCTCAAGCAGACTCGCGGAGCCCATCTGTGCTCTTGTCTTCTAAGACCACAACAGTGTCCTGCTCTGTGGGTGAACCATCAGTTTATTTTGTGCCGAGTGCTTTAAACATATTGTCAGTTCATCCTCATAATCAGTGAGGCGGGTACTGGTGGCACTTTTCCTTTGCAGATGAGGAAACTGAGAAAGTTACTCCAGGATATGCTGCTGATACGTGGCAGACCTAGGACTTGAGTCCAGATCTGTCTGTGCTGTACTTCCAATAAGGCATGATTTTCAAGAGAGGGATGGCTCTGCCCCACTTGCCCCAGCACTGAGCTCGGTCTCCTACCCAGCCTTTAGGAGCCGTCCTCCTTCCTGTCTCTTACCCCATCTCCTTAGTGATCCCAAGTCTTAGCACTCCAACTAACTCCTTTTTAGATTGCCTCCGTGGTCCACAGAGGCAAAAGACCACTCAGAGGTCAAGGATACATAAGGGTTACAAAGTGAACGTTTAGATTTGATGACAAGAGGGTTATGGGTGGCTGGCGGGCACACTCTCCCTGGAGAGGTGGGCAGAAGCCAGTGTGCTGTGGCAGAAAGACAAGGCATGAGTGTTGATGGTTTGGTAGTGAAGTGAGAACAGGAGCTAGAGAAAGTGGGGATTTGGGTTGTTGAGGGGCAATTTTGTTTGGTTTTAAGGATGGACGGGACTTGAGCGAATGCCCAGAGGCCCGTGTTAGGCCTGTGTTGCTAGAGAGGGAGACATTGAGGTGGGGCTGGAGAGGAGGATGGAAGCCGCTGAGCTGGGGAAGGAGCAGCCTGAGCCGGAGAGGGAGCAGGAGGCTCCGAAGGGGGAGGTGCTCTTCTTCCATTGTTTCTAGAGGAAGAGGGGAAGTTTTGTTTTGCTCTGTTTTGTTCTCTGTGGCAGGAAGTTGAGGGTTCTGTGCTTCTCGATGCAGTTTTCTCTAGGAATCGATGATGAGGTCTTCCGCTAAGAGCGAACAGGAGGTTTCAAAGTAAAGCTGGGAGGTTTTCAAAACTTCAGGTTCTGCATTAACCGATGTGGAAAAGGACAGAGAGAGTTGATGCCTGGCGCTGTTGAAGGTCCAGTGGGAGAGTTTGGTGTGTCAGTCAGTGTGTTTGCCTGTTTTGTTTTTCCTCCAGGAGTGTGCTCACACACCCGGGGCTGGTAAAGCAGGAAGTGCACGACTGCATTTCTGCCAGTCGTGTGGACGGCAGGGGAGGGGACGTTTAGGATGTTGGCAAACGCGAGGTGGAAGTGATGGCTTATGGAATTGATGCTGAATAAGGAAAGAAGTAAAGATAGGACTGGACAGAATGCCAAGGAACTGTAGGTCCCAAGAGGCTGAAAAACCAGGGGTCTTGGGAAGCGGGAGAGTCTGAGACACAGGAGGTGCTGGTTGGAGAGAGGGAGGTCTGACTCTCTGCTGATGACCGTCTGAGGGGAGGCAGTGGGAGCGATGGCTCGGAGGTGGGTGTTGTGGGTGCGAACGCATAGATCTCGAGGGCACCCGGGCTATGGATGGACTTTGGAGAGGAACCCCCTTTGGCACCGGAATCCTCTGGGAATCAGGAAGGTGGTGGGGTGTCAGTAGATGACAGGTGTGCGAGGGACAGAGATAGAAGTGTCTTGATGGCATGAGCCTCAGAAGGGTTTTCACAGGGCCGTGGAGGCGTGGAGGTGAGCAGCAGTGCAGAGTGAGCCGGGTACCAACAGGGACTCTTGGTCTTGGAGGGCAGGGCGGAGTTGGTGAGACGTGAGAAAAGGAGCAGCTTTCCACCTGCCGGGACAGCGGAGAGGCTCAAGACTCCAGGGGAGAGGAAGCATTCAGAATCCGAAGAACTACAGGAATTTACTAATTACAGAATGGGTGTTCTGGAAGGCTTGTTGTAAAGCTCCGAGAAAGGAAGCCTACAGAGGCGTGAGGAGAGACCAGAAGCCTCCCTGGTCATTATTCTCAGGTGTTCTCGTAGGGTAGCAGTGTTCTGAAGCAGAATGAGAATAGCTGGCTAAGATTTGACAAGGGAAAAGGAGGTCCCTTTGCAGAGAAAGGGGTGGTCACTCCGACTCATAGGATTCAGTTGGCACTTCTGATGAAGACCAAATCTCTCTAGAGTGCACTGGTCGTAAATTTTAGATTGAATGGAAATTCCTTGGAAGGGCTCCAGGCCACAGTAGTTAGGCACATCAGCTTCTGGGGAATTAGGGTTCTTCTGTGGTTAAGGTGCGACCCAATGGACAGGTGCACTGCTGGCTGATTGATTGCCCTGTGGCTCTGTGCTAGGTCTTCTGAAGTGTTGAATTTACCCAGTGGAGATACTCATATGGAACAATGGCAAAAATGGATATTCTTCGTTACGGCTCTTGTGCTCATTTACCAATTTGTAGATCTGACTTCGTGTGTACCCATGACCTTGTGATCTTGTGGGGCATTCTGGATTATGGATCATGGTGTGGAAGGACCCAGAACAAGACAGTGTAGTGATTGTCTCTGATTATGGAATTGTGGGTGTGCACTTTTCTCTTTTTATTGTTAATAGAAAATAGAGCTTTGCTTTATTTTCCTTACTCAGTTAGACCCTGAATTTCACAGAGGAAAAATTTACTACAGACTCATAGTTGGAGTTTTATTGGCCTGCGTATTTTATGAGTACTGTGAGTCTTGTAACTGACTGGGTTTCTCTCCAGAAATTCACGGTAATGTCTGTGGCCCAGTTTTAGCAAGTGTGCAGAATTCTATGGTGAGTGTCTTTTGCTAGCCTCATTCCTGGCTCTGCTTTTTCTCTCTGTCCTTGTTTTTTCTTGATCTTTCTCACCTACTTCTAATTTATGTCATTTAATCTTATTTCATGTGTCTCAATATCTCTTCTAGAACAAATTGTGGTAAAAGTAAACGAAACCAATGTTGGGCCGAAGAGTATGAGCATCCTTCATGGTTCATGATTTTTTTTTTTCCTTATTGCTTTCCAAACAAATTTTTATTTAATCCATTGTGTCTGTAAAGGAGCTTTTAAAAATATTTTTTTTGTGTAACTATGAGTATTGTATGAGAATGGTAGAAAATTTGAAAATAAGCATAAGTCTAAAGAGGACAGTTTTCATTATGAGTTCTAGATTTTTCTTAACCTTTTATATCTACATTTTTAACATTAATGAAATTATATGTGCAATTAATTTCAAATCTTGCTGTTTTCTCTTAAAAGTATATCAAAGCATATTTGATATTAAAGATGCCTTATGGGGCTCCTGGGTGTCTCAGTCAGTTAAGCATCAGCCTTCAGCTCAGGTCATGATCCCAGGGTCCTGGGATGGGGCCCTGAGTCCAGTTTCTTGCTGGGTGGGTAGTCTCCTCCTCCTTTCTCTCTCTACCTGCTTTTGCACACTTGCTCTCTCTCTCTCTCTCTCTGTGTCAAATAAATAAAAATCTTTAAAAAAAAAAAGATGTCTTATGACAAGATTACTGATAACCATGGAATAAATATATCATAAGTTACCTGTTTTTATTGTTGAAGATTTAGATTGCTTTGATTCCTTTGCTATTTTAAATAGCATTGCAGCGAACATCATTATACAGATATCTTTGCCGCAGTTTCAAAAGTATTTTCTAATGGCAGATCCCTAGAAGTAGAAGAGCAGTAATTGAAGATATAAGCAAACAAATGATAAATAAAGGAGAGAACACAGGTGAATATTTTTAAAAGTTTGCAAGGGGGACAGCATTCTTATCCATGGCACCAAAAAAAAAAAAAAAAAAAAAAAAGCGGCGGCGGGGGGGGTTGGAGAATGGCTAAATTAAAAAAGTATATACCTGGAAAACTCTTTGGAAATTATGATAGATAAATGGCTATAAAGAACCTCCACAAATGAAAAAGACTTTTAAAGACCATGAAAAGACAATTTAAAAAAGAGACCCACCACAAAAGAAGAAAAATCTATAGCTAACGAATATTTTAAAGGATGGTCAATCCCAGTAGGAACAAAACAAAGATGACATATTATTTTTCAGTTACAAGTCCATCAAAGATAATCACTGGTGATGAGAATATGTGATAAGAATATAAGTTGATATATTTCTGGAAACAGACTGTTAATTAAAAATACATGTATCCTTGAGCACCTGGGTGGCTCAGTCAGTTAGACATCTGACTCCTGATTTTGGTTTGGGTTGTGGGATGGAGCTCAGACCTGTTGGGGTCTGTGCTGGGCATGGAGCCTGCTTGAGATTCTCTCTCTCATCTCTCTCTCTCTCCCTCTTGCCACCACCTCCCCCCACTCACGTGTGTGTGTGCTCTCTCTCTCAAAAAGAAGAAATGAAAGCCATTAATAAATTATAAAGATCAGGAATTTTGTAAAACATACACACACACTCACACACACACACTTTTATCTTTTATCCAGTAATTCCATCTTTAGGAGTTTGATTTTTATCAAACAGATGCCCAATGATGTTTACACAGCATTGTTTATTGATTGAAAGATTGACAACAACTTAAGTGAGGATTTGGTTTTGTTGTTTGTCCACCCGGTGGAATACTATATATGTGTTAAAAATGATCATGTAGATATGAATTACTGACAGAAAGATACTTAAGAGCTGTTAAAGATTTAGAAAATATGAGTGAAGGAATGGATATACATAGAAAAAATACGGAAAGGTGTAAACATAGTATTCATAGTGTTTTTTCCCTATTTAGAGGAATTATGACTCATCTGTATTTTTTCTTCCTTTATTTTTCCTGAAGGGTTTTTTTTTTTTTTTAAGATTTTACTGATTTATTTATTGGAGAGAAAGGAGAGCACATGCACCAGTCGGGGGTGGGCGGGGCAGAGGGAGAAGGAGAGGGAGAATCTGGAGCTGACTCTGCACCAAGCTTGGAGCCCCATGCAGGGCTAGATCCCACGACCCGGAGATCATGACCCTGAGATCATGACCTTTGTTGAAACCAAGAGTCACATTCTTAACCAACTGAGCCACCCAGGTGCACCTTTCCTGAAGTTTTAAAATAAGTATGTCTGACCTGAATAAGTCGAAGGGGGAAGGAAAAGCCAGTTCCCCCAAAATAAGTGTCTTACAGCAGAAACAAACCTTGTATTTAATCCTCCCGCTCTTCGTAGTTACACATACCGATTTCAAGCTAGAAATGTTACATGAACTATAATTTACGAAGTGGATCTGCAAAAGCATAATAAAGAGATAACACGTAACATGAAGAAGGCAGAAAGGGGAGCCCTTGGTCAGGGCATTTACAGTGAAAATGAATGCATTCATCACACGTCATCACTGGGCACGTCATCACTGGCAGGTCCTCAGCCAGAGCCTGTTGGGGGGCTCTGTGTGGTTTTGAAGAATGTGCCTTCCAGCCCTCTTCTTGCTGCTGAGAAAACCTAGGCTCTAGGAGGCTTAGTGTCTCAGGAATCTGGTAGGTGCTGGGACTGATCCTGCACGGGCTTCTCACCCAGCCCTGGGAGGAGTGCCCTTCAAATTTACATCACCCTCATGCATGAAAATTCATCTGCCATGATTTGTTTTTTGAATTAAAACATTCTTTCTCCACCCCCCCCCCCAGTTCTGTAATGCTAATTCCTTTGGCGGGGGGTTCTTCTCATAAATCACAAATATTTAGGTTGAATGAATTTCCTCACTTCTTCCCACTCATACCCTCTATCATAGGGGAAAGTTGTATCTGTCTATAAAGGAGAAGAGATGCAGGAGGAGTTAACTGAGGTTCAGTCTAAGACCAAGTCCTTTAACTTCCAAATTTTGCTTGGACTCTGTGAGCTCAGGTTTTGGGGAGATGAAATTGTAATTTTCAATGCCAAAACTGCTCACAGCTTTTCCTTGATGAATGACTCTTGTTCATATGTTTTTGAGATTTTCTTGGTGTCATGGATTAAAATGGACTTTTGGCCTGAAAGAATAAATTCATAAAATGTAGCTTGAACCATTGTTATTTTGACCTTTCATTTCCAAGAGCTATGACTGTCATGCAGTCTCTACCCTTACAGGAAAAAACAGTTTAGCTAAAACACACTTTTAGTTTGGGCAAATTAATATGTAAAAATCTTGTCTTGGCATAAATTAATTTCATTTGATTTAACATTGGTTTTCATTATCAAAGTGCTACAATCACATTTCAGAAAACTTTAATTCAAGAAAAGGGATGATTGATGGAAAATATTAAATGCATGAGAGATGGGGGAGAAGAGGAAAAGGGAAGAGACTAATATTTTCCTGTAGCACAGTAACATTTTGGCATTATTTCCTTCTAGTTTTTTTTTCTTGTCACCCGAAATACAACCGTACTTCCAGGATTATGGTTCTGCCAGAATATGGCCGATGAGGCAAATCCTTTTCTGTGTTCATCAATCTGACTCCTCAACGAGCAGGTGCTCTCTTAGCTCTTTTTGTCTCCCTCTGCCTTTTGGTGAAACTTGGCAGCATATGTGGCAGAAGGTGGAGACTTAATTTCTTTTAAAAGATACCTGGATTGGGATTCAGTAGCAATATCCTCAGTGGAATTTTTCTGCTAAAAGAAATCCTCAAAGTTAAGCCTGGAGGAAATGAATCAAATGTTTCTAAACACATTCTGAGGGATAGTTAAATTCCATTTCCTAAGGGTAGAAAAAAAACCCCACAAAACCCTCAACATTTCCATTCTACATCCTTGACTTTGGAGCTGGGCCCTGGGGGCCTGGACTCACCATTTTGTGTTGGTAATTGAAGTCTTTTGGCTGCTGTTTTGGTGGAAGGAAAGTGTGTTCTTGCCCAGTTTGGTTACTCAAAGAGAGCGTTTTTCTTTCCTTTCTGCCAAGAGATGCTACTATTCCGTTATGCTTATTTTGTGCCATTCTTCTTATTTGCAGAGTACGCGGGTGGAGTTTGACCTGCCGGAGTATTCTGTCCGTCGAAGGTACCAGGATTTTGACTGGCTGAGGAACAAACTGGAGGAGTCCCAGCCTACTCATCTCATTCCCGTAGGTACTAAGTCATGACAGCTTGTTCCTCTGTTTACCTGTGTCATCGCTCCTGAGGATGTTCACTGGGCTCTCGCCGCTTACATGAGGGGCAGACTCTGCCTGACACTTTATACTGCATTTCCCCATCAAATGCACGTAAAACATTCTCATGGATGGTGTCTAACCTGTCTGACCCTTGGGGTTTTGGTTTCTGGTTTGCTCTGATCATGCTGGTTTCTTAAACGGTGTGCGGGTAGGTTTTCACTTTCATTTTGACAGTTTTTTTGAGGTAGGGAGAGTCCTAATTCTTATTTGCTGCCTCTTTAAAGACTGTTTCACCCTTCTAGACGCAGTTCTTGAGGGTTGGGTGGCTGCCACCAGGTGAACAGCGATGCCTCAGATTACAGCTGGCGGGGCTTTCCTTAGACATGGCTGATTCAGGAAGCAGGAAGCTAGCACACAACCCACCCAACCCCAGTTTTTCACTTAAAACACCAAAAGCCATCTAACTCCATTTATTGAAGCAGCATAATATTTTTCTATTGCTCCTATCTACACATTAAAAAAAAAAGAACAACCAAAAACAGAACTGGAGCAAATAAAATTTAAAAGACTACGTAAACCAACATACATATTGAATGCTTTTCAGACTTTTTTTCCCCCCAGTAGAAATAATAACCATTTTAGACCCCAGCTGTTTCTTTGGGCTTTGGGGGCATTGGTGCAGTTTAGGCCATAAAACTCTTCAGAGGGGCTCTATCTTTCAGTAAAACCTTGGCTGAATAACTTCTTAGCACTTGCCAGTCTTTGTGTTACGAATGCGTCTCCCAGTGCTTCTCTCCCACGGTTGGAAGAGGGTGAATATACTGTGGTAGAAATGATGGGGTTTGCCTACGACGGCATTCTTTCCTGGAGGGAAGAAACTCATCTTTAAACAGTTGGAACGGTTCCTTAAAATGGAATCGCAATTTGGCGACATTGGCAGCTAGTGAACTTTTTTTTTTTTAAATAGGCTTTTTATTTGAGAACAGTTTTAGATTTCCAGAATTACTGCGAAGGTAGTGCAGTGAATGCTCGTATACCCTGCTCCTGGTTTTGCTCGACGTTTTACGTTCGTGTGGCACATTTGTCACAGTTAACGAACCAGCAATGATTCCTTATTGTTGACTACACGTCCTTTATTCAGATTTCCTCCGTTTTGCCTAATGTCCTCTTCCTGTTCTAGGGTCCCATCTAGGGTGTCACCTTGCATGTCTCCTTATTGGTCGTGATAGTTTCTCAGCCTTTCCTCGTTTTCGGTGACGGGCAGTTTCGAGGAGTACTCGTCAGGCATTTTGTAGAATGTCTCTCAGTTGAGATTTGTCTGATGTTTTTCTCATTATTAAACTGGAGTCGTGTGTTTTGGGAGGAAAAGTGCCGTTCTCATCACATCATAAGAAAGGTTCATGCTGTCAACAATATTTATTACTGTTGATGTTAACCTGGATCACTTTATTTGATGTAATGCTTGTTGGGTTTCTCCACCGTACAGTCACTCTTCACTCCTGTTCCGTGCTGTACTGTTTGGAAGGAAGTCGTTGTTTATGCTTATTAGCCCACACTGTGCACAAGGCGGGGGTTTACGCTCCACCTGCTGGCGGCTAGTGTGTTTGAAGTTTGGTTCGACAGCGACACCTGCTGGTTGTACTTACGCATGGACACCGAAACCAGAACTGAAAGAGGATGGAAGGCTTCGGAATGTCGGGGAGTGATCCAGAGTAGCTTTAAGTATGGTTTCCTACAGTCAGGATGGAAACAGTGAGTAGGAAGGTATTCTAGAAGCAAGTGGAGACATAAACTTATTCAATAAATTATTGGTACGTGTCTGGGGTGGAGAGAGATTTAACATAGGAGAGCATCTCTAACTCAGTGTGAAAGTGAAAGTGGAAAAAACTTTTTTTCTCCTTTAGAAATTATTCTGCAACAACTTGGCTAGAAAGTATCTATCTGTTAGTAAGCAGTGACTTTGTGTTAGTCTTCATACTAGGCTTGGTGTGTACTCTTGGGGAGCTCAGGGGTCGTGTGATGGACAAGGGACCCCTGTGTGGAAAGTTTATTTTCAGGTGGAGACCTAGTAGACATGCAACACAATTATTGTTTACATTTTCATTTCTTTATTAAAAAAACAGCTTTGTTAAGATATAATTCATTCACCGCACAGTTTGTCCATTTAAAATACACAAGTCAAGGACTTTTCGTATCTTTAGTGTCAGTATTTAGTATATTAGTATATACTATTTCCATATATATATTTAGTATGTAAGTATTTAATATATATATATTTATATACGTATTTAATATATTTAGTATAGAGAGTTGTGCAACCATCAGCACAATCAATTTTAGAACCTTTTCTCACCCCCAAAAGTAACCTCCCACTCTTTGCTTGTCATTTCCAGACCTTCTATCTTTTTCAGCGCCTGGCAACCACTGATCTTTCTGTCTCTATAAATTTTCCTATTCTGGACATTTCATATAAAGTAGAGTCCTACACTATATAGTCTTTTGTGATTGGGTTTTTTTCACTTGGCACAGTGTGTTCAAGGTTTTCAAGGTTAATCCGTGTTGTGGCACGTGTCAATACTTTCGTTCCTTTTTCTTGTTAGATAATATCACGTTGTATGGATGTACCCCTTTTTGGTCTATCTGCTCGCATTTAATGGACATTTGAATTGTTTTCACCTACTGGCTGTTCTGACTAATGCGACTATGAACATCTACATGCAAATTTTTGCTTGGTCCTCTGTTCTCATTTTTTCTTGAGTGTGTACACCCAGTAGTATCATTGACAGATTGTATGTACCTGTTTATTTAACCTTGTGAGAAACTGCCAGGCTGTTTTCCAAAGTGGCCACATCTTTTACCTTCCCACTGGCAGGGTATGAGGGTTCCAGTTTCTCCACGTCTTTATCAACACTGTGATTATCTACATCTTTGATTATAACCATCCCAGTGGGTGTGAAGTAGTATCTCACTGTGGTTTCGATTTGCATCCCCCGACAGCTAATAATGACGAGCATTTTTTTACATACTTGTTGGCCGTCTGTCATCTTCCTTGGAGAACTATCTCTTCAGATCCTTTACGCTGGGTTGTCTTTTTGTTAGTAGATCTTTATATAATCTAAATGTAAATCCCTTACTAGAGATACGACTTGCAAAAAATTTCCTCCCAGTTAATGAGCTGTCTCATTACTTTCTTGATGGTGTCTCTTGGAAGTACAAAGATTTTTAGTTTTGATGAATTCCAGTTTATCTTTTGTTTCTTTCTCTGCTTGTGCTTAAAGGTGTCCTATCTCATAAATCGTCACCTAGTTCTAGGTCATGAAGATTTACACCTGTGCTTTCTTCTAAATTTTTAAAAAGATTTTATTTATTTATTTGACAGAGAGACAGATCACAAGTAGGCAGAGAGGCAGGGCTGCTGAGCAGAGAGCCCAAAGTGGGGCTCGATCCCAGGACCCTGGAATCATCACCTGAGCCGAAGGCAGAGGCTTTAACCCACTGAGCCACCCAAGCATCCCCTAAATTTTTTTTTTTTTTAACATTTTGTTTTCAAGTAATCTCTACACCCAACGTGGGGCTTGAATTCATGACCCTGGAATCTGGAGTTGCTCGTGCCACCAAATGAACCAGCCAGGTGCCCCTCTTCTAAAATTTTTATACAGTTTTAGCCCACACATTTCAGCCTTTCATCCATTTTGAGTTCATTTTTGTACAGTAAGCTTTCCTTTCTTTAACCAGGGAGGCTGAATGTCGTCCCCTGAACTTAGGGGACATTGGTGTTTCTTTTATGATTTGCCTCTTCGTTTTCTCTTGTTTTTGTTTTGTCTTGTCTTGTTTTGCCTTGTAAAAACTCCGTATCTGCAAAGGAAGTTGGCCTGTATTTTTTATATTTAAATGTAGCATTTGTTCTGATGTGAGACGGGACCATAGTGTTTTCAGGTGGTAAGTTGCTACGGAACCACTTACGTGTGATCAGTCATCCTCACCATCGTTTGTGCATCAGGCCAAAACATGCATTAGACTTGTGTGTTCCTGAACTGCCCTGAACCCTTGGTGCGTCCGTCTTTCTAATCTGGGGCCCTTCCTACATGATTTGAATGACTGTGACTTCACAGAACATCTCAACATCCGGTTGTAAGGTCCCCGTCTCCATCTCCACCTGCCAATATACTCTGTTTCCAGAGCTTTTCTGGCTATTGGCACATGTTCTGTTTTTCAAGATGAACTTTAGAGTCTTTTGAATTAGTTGGAACATTTGGGAGAACGAATTCCTATTTCGTTGTGTTTGTTTATGTTATGTTAGTCACCACACAGTGTATCATTAGTTTTTGATGTCATGTTCCGTGATTCATTGTTTGCATTATAACACCCAATGCTCCATGCAATCTGTGCCCTCTTTAATAGCCATCGTCGGGCTTTTGCCAACTCAGGTCAGCTGTGGTTAAAAGTATGTGAGGATTCCTGAGCTTTCAGATTCTGCTGCTGTGTTAGGAGTGTGGAATGAAGTGCCCCTCTTACCTGGGCTTCAGTGGAACCATGTGAAGTCCTAAGTGAACAGTCAGCCAGACTGTGGTTCCGGGAAGAACCCACATTCTTTCATTTTCCTCTCCTGATCGGCCGTCCTGAGGCCTGTTTCCAGCCCCTGTGGCTCCGAACTTGGCAGCTTCTGGGGCTGTCCCGGGGAAACCCAACCCCTGACTTCTAGACCACCCTTTCCTTTGCCTGAATAGAATCACAAGATGGTCAGTATGGCTTGCCTTTTCTCTCAGTTCAGTCTTTTCTGCCTTGCACCTTTAACAGATTCTGGCCTCTTTGATATTTTCTGTGTGCTGCGGCACTGTGATGTTTTCTGGTGCTGAGGCATATATATATTTTTTCTTTTTACATTGCTTCATCACTCTGTAATTTGAAAAGCAGAAATGCGCATATCACTTCATCCTCGAATACTTGGAGCCAAGTCTTCATTATGACGTGGA